AAAATACATCTTTTAAAATCTTCCAAATTTTCAATATCTTTCAAGTAACAATTTCTACCCATGAAGAAATTCTTTTCCGTGGAATTAATGACAAAGTTCCAAATCAGAGTGTGTTTTACGTGAAATATATAGATGAGCAAAACGGGAAATTTTATGAATATTTTTAAAAGATCTACTGTAGATGACCTTTAAATACTATGCTATCCATAGCACTTAAAATATCTCTTGACATCACAAATCCTGTAGCATATATGTGTCATAAATTGCAGCGTATCTGAGCAGTCAATACCTCTCTCTTCCCTCCCAGGACCACGCAGCAGAAGTGGAGAACAAGAAGGGAGAATGGCAGAGTCTGCAGGGACACTTGGCGAAGTTGGGTTCTCTGGGCCGAGCAGAGGACATTCACCTCCTGCAGAGCAAGGCAGAGGACTGCTTCCAGCTGTTTGAGGAGGCCAGCCAGGTTGTGGAGAGGAGGCAGCTTGCCCTGGCCCAGTTGGCAGAATTCTTGCAGAGCCACGCCTCTCTGTCCGGGGCTCTCTACCGGCTGAGGCAAACGGTGGAAGCAACCAACAGTATGAATAAGAAACAGTCTGATCTGTTAGAAAAGGACCTAAATGATGCCCTTCGAGATGCTAAAACACTAGAGTCAACCGCCATCAGTCTCGATGGCATTCTTACCAAAGCCCAGTACCATCTGAAAAGTGGGAGCTCTGAGCAAAGGACTTCCTGCAGAGCCACAGCCGATCAGCTCTGTGTAGAGTTAGAGAGGATCCAGAACCTTCTGGGCACCAAGCAGAGTGAGGCAGATGCCTTGGTGGTGTTGAAAAAAGCATTCCAAGACCAGAAGGAGGCGTTGCTGAGAAGCATCGAGGACATTGAAGAAAGGGCTGACAAAGAGCGACTCCGAGAACCTACGCGCCAGGCCCTTCAGCAGAGGTAAAGCAAACCGTTGCAGCCACTTCTCTCTTTTACTTCGTATTTTCTCTGAATTACCTTTTGTGCAAAACTTTAATAGTACCATATTTGGAAACTTCTTTTTTTTAACATTATGAAGATAAAATCAATGATGAATTTGATGCTTGAGAAGTACTAAAATTTCTTTGGCTTCCTTAGGGATTTCTCCAAAAGCTGTATATGAGCCACTCTGAGACCTTATTTACAAGACAGCATGTAGATCATATTATCTATTTTTAAGAGATTTTTTACTGATGGGGAAGGGACTCATCTCCTGTAACAAGAATGAAGGCAGGTGTTGGAGGAGAGAAAATGGTGTGAAATCATTCTCTTGTAGCGAGGAGCTTAGGAAGGTGATGAGCAGCTGGTTGAGGTCTGGGTTCATTCAAAGCAGAGACAGTCAGCTGGGCAGAGTGGTTCTCCACAACTACTTTTAGCTGTTTGCTTAGAGGTATAGAGAAGGCAGAGAAGTGGGTTTAAGCAAAGTTGGAGTTTTATCAGGTGAGTTCAATAGAGAAGCAAAGGGGCCAAGGGTAAGTTCCTTAGTAACTTTGACAAATGATTTTTTTTTCCCTAAAATTGTAGACTTCTTTTCAATCTTCTTTTTCCTTCTTAATAGAACCTTCTCCCCACTGATGTTCTCAGGGCTGCTTTCTATCTCAGTTTTTCAGATGGCAAAGAAGTAGTTAAAATGCACTCATACCAAGGTACCCATAATGGTGTAGATTATGTTGTCCCTGCTGAGACCATTGCCATTTGTTTCCTTTTACCCACAATCAAACATTAAGTCAAGGCTTTAGCTGGATGATAGTTGAGTTCATATCAGGGCTAAAGACTGGGCTCCTGAGGTTATAGCCCTCATGGGCAATAAACTCTTTTACTAGTTTAGCAATAAATTTACAAAAGGGAATGGGATTTGGGGAGGAAAAAATAGCCTGCAGGGTAAAGAGAGAACAAGATGCCTAGTGTCGCTCACCCAGGAAGTCAGCAGTAGCATTGGTGTTGCAGGGTGGCTGACCCCTCTCTGGCCTGCTCAGGCCAAGAGGACAGGAAATTCTAAAATTGCTGGAGAAGAAAGCCCAGCTTGGGCTCAAGAGCCATATCAGTAGCCTCAACACTGAACTCAACACCAAAGTCACACATCGGCTACAGGAAATGCTGTATTGAATCAATGGGCTTATTAAATGCCAGCCATGCTTATGTTTCACTGTATCACCTTGAGCAAATCACCTGTCTTCTTGTGAGGTGGGGGTAATGAAAATGCCTACACTCAGCCACTTTGTTTTTGGAATTAAATAGGATAATCGTGTATCATCACTTTATAAACCGAAGCACCATACTAAACTGTAAGAATGAAGGAGTCAGTGACTGCCTCTATGTGGACACTTTGTACAAATACCCCAACATTAATAGATAAGGGACAAAATAATGATCATTTTCTCATGGTAATCTTTTCAATAATGTAGGTAATTTAAGTTTTTAAAATACATACTTTTTATAGAGCTCAGTAAAACTATTTTGAGTTTGAACGAAACACCTGTGATCCTTGAATATTGTTTATGTGGATTGAACCTCATGGTCCAGAGGCATTTCTTACCAATAACTTTCTAATAAGTATTCACCTACTTGGCCTACAATGTCAGTCTTAGTCTTAGAAGTCTTATACCATCAAAGCAAAGAAGAAAGAGAACACAAAATTAATAGAAGATTGCAGGTAAACGGTAAGAATGAAATTTCTCAAAATTTTCTGAGGTACAATCTGAGTACCCCATAATCTGAGTATTTTACAAAATTAACTTTAAAAGCATCTTTCATTAATTTAATTGATGTGTTAAAAGTTTTTTTCTAGCTATCTTGTGTGTGCTTTATGGACTTATCTTGCGCTTATGGGGAAGAAATATTAGTTAACTACCTTTAGTAATTTAATAGTAAAACATTTTAATTCACAGGTTGCGAGTGTTTAATCAGCTAGAAGATGAATTAAATTCTCATGAACATGAATTATGTTGGTTGAAAGACAAAGCTAAGCAAATTGCCCAGAAAGAGGTAGCTTTCGCACCTGAAGTTGACAGGGAGATAAATCGTTTAGAGGTTACCTGGGATGATACCAAAAAACAAATTCATGAAAAGTAAGTAAAAAAACCTAACAGTGTGTGTTTTTAACTTCCCACTTATTTGGTGACATTGGGCCATTGACTGTTGATTTACATTGATATGATCAAGAGTTGAATATCTGCCTTCTTAGATATTCTGTGTTGCTTTAGTAACATTAAAAATGTTAGTTCTATAGAACTTTATTGGGGATGTTAACTTGAGATAATTACATGTGAAATTCAATGCTTGAACGCAGGAGTTGTCAACAATTATAAAGTGAAACCAAGAGGGTTTTAACCTCCGATTTTACTTTTTTTTTGTTTCGTTGTACTCGTTTGTAATTAATGCATGATTTAGATACATGAAGTTCACTCTTTTTAGTATACAATTTTATGAGTTTTGACAAACTCATTCAGTTATATAACTATCAGCTATTGAATTTCACGGTAACAATTTTCGTCTTGAGAATCTCAATTCCCTCATCTTTCCCTCTCACCCCCAGCCCTGGCAACCACTGATCAATTTTCTGTATGTATAGTTTTGTCTTTTTTCAGAATACAGATAAATGGAGCCATATATTAATAGAATGTTACCTTTTTAGTCTGGCTTCTTTTATTGAGCACAACATATGTTGTGTGTATCAGTAGTTCGTTCTTTTTGTATAGCAGAATATTCCATTGAATGGGTGGACTGAAGTTTGTCCATGCACCAGTTGAAGGACAATTGGGTTCTTTCTGGATTGAATGATTATAAATAGACATCTACAAACATTCATGTTTGAATTTTGTGTGTACATAAGTTTTTATTTCACTTGGGTAAATAATCTAAAAGTGGTAGTCAGGGTTGTATAGTAAAGGATATGCTTAACTTTATAAGAAACTACCAAACTATTTTCCGAAGGAGTCACCCGAGTTTCCACTCACATCAGCCCTGTGTGAGAGCTCCAGTTGTACCACATCATTTCCAACACTTGATATAGTGAAATTTGTGTTTATTTTCTTGTTTGACCTTCTAATAGATGCATAGAGATGTCTCATTGTGTGTTTTTTAATTTGTATTTCCCTCATGACTGATGATGAGCATATTTTAATATGTTATTTGCCATCTGTATATCTTCTTTAATAAAGCACTTCTTCAAATTGACCATTTTGGGGGGATTTTTTTGTTACTGAGGTCTTTTTTAATATCAATACAATCCCAACCAAAATCGCCACAGAATTTTCATAGAAATTGACAAGCTGATTCTAAAACTTACATGTAAGAGCAAAAGACCCACTAGAATAGCCAGTACAGTTTTGAAAAAGAATTGGAGGACTCACACTAGCTGCTTTCACTGTGGTGCTGGCTCAAGGATAAACATATAGACCAATGGAACAAACAGAGTCCAGAAATAGACCCACACATATATGGTCAATTGATTTTTGACAAAGACTCAAAGGTAATTTGATGGAGAATAGTCTTTTCCATAAGTGGTGCTGGAACAATTAAACATCCATATGCATTTTTAAAATGTACCTCAACACACCTTATATCACATACAAAGGCCTTTTAAACAAAATCGAGAGCATATTATACAATGTAGATTATTAATGTAGGCTTTTTAAATTTAACCATGTTGCACAAACTTTATTCCATATCATTAAACATTCTCCTAGATTGTAATTTCTTAGAGGTTGTACAGTGTTCTATTATAAGAACTTATCATAATTTTTTCAATCATTGACCTATTTGTAACATTAGGTTATTTCTACTTTTTTCTCCTATTACAAATAAAGCTGTAAAAAATGTCATTTTACCTAAATCTAAATGCACACTCCCTACTTTCTTTTCTTTGGAAAAATTTCTAGATGTAGACTTGCTTGCTCAAAGGCATTTTACTCTTATAAACAAAAACTATCTTTTTATTTTGACAATTTTCAGGCACTTCATATCCAATGAAAATTTGTTACATTGAAATGCAAGAGAAAATATCACATGCATTTTAATTATTGAGCAGTGTTTTTGTTTTGGTTTCTATTTTCTCTCCCCTCCCCCAATATTTGTCATTATGAAATTATTAAAACAGCAGGGAAAAAAACACCTAAAAAACCAAAAAATTTGCATGACTCCTTTAAGTAAGTTGGAATTGCCAAGAATATATATTGCTTTTTTGTCAGTGAGTCCATAGATTTTGTTTTAATGGTTGTGTGTAGTCTTCATTCATAAAGAATATTTTGGACATTAGAATTAAGTAGAATTAACCAGCTGTAATATTTTGACCTCAGGATATAGAAATATGGTTTTCTCTTGGTTCCAGCATCCATCTAGGAATATATTCATGTATGATATAGCAGGTCTAATTGTAAGGAATTCTTTCCTTTGCTGACACATGACACTAATAATACATTTTCTTTAATCGTAACAGCCAGGGTCAGTGCTGTGGACTTATTGACTTAGTGAGAGAATATCAGAACTTGAAGTCAGCTGTGTCTAAAGTCATAGAAAATGCCAGCAGTGTGGTTGGAACCAGAACTACTATAAAAGATCAAGAGGATCTAAAATGGGCTTTTTCCAAGGTAAAATTCAAAATTTGTTTCTTTTAGTAGACTAGTTTAGTAGATCTGTTCTTACTCATAAAGTGATTCTCTGTATAATTCTTCTTGTCGGTACATTCAGATGTGGATAATTCATGCTAACAAGCTCAATTTTTTTTCCTAGGGATTCTGATACCCTAGGATTCTAGCAATTCAAGAAAATGATATAATATATATTCATATGATTAATTAATATCACTATTTCTGCATAAGGTCAATCATGAATTAAGTTTCTTAGAGGCAAATATTTTTAAACTCTTGATTTATCACTGATTATTTTATTAATTAAGGAAACATTTATATCCACAGCACGAAACTGTCAAGAATGAAATGAATTATAAACAGAAAGAGTTGGATAATTTTACCAGTAAAGGAAAACACTTGTTATCTGAGCTGAAAAAAATCCACAGTAGTGATTTCATCTTGGTAAAAACAGACATGGAGAGCACCGTGGACAAATGGCTGGATGTAAGATGGTCACCTGGGATTCTGTGAACAGTTTAAATATTTATATTTCTCAATCATGTCTTTGGCCAAAGGATTATTCAAGGATGTGCATTCCACTTTTAGCTTTCAATGCTACATGCAAAATGATATTCTGAAGAAAAACAGTGATCACATAAAGTTTAGAAACAGTAAAAACATTATTTGCTTTATTTATTAATTTCACTTGATAGCTTCAGTCATACCAAATTGCCTTGAATCTTTTTCTTCTCAAAACTCTGGAATTATGGATAAAAATAGAAGAATAATTTATAAATATCATATATAATATTAAACCGTAATACATGATAATTTAAAGTAATAAGGCTATAATTGGAAAATATTTTGGAAACATTGGAAATATATTGGAAAATATTGCACTTATAGCTTACATCCTTGAGTTCTAGTTATTGTTCTGTCACTTAGTATCTGTGTGACCATAGAACAAGTTACTTGATCTCCTTAAACTCTGCGTATCGATCCATAAATATTTTATATTACCTTCCCGATCAAAAAGACAGTGATTGTGTTGTCCCGTTATCAATATCTAGGTTCAGAAGTTTAACCTACCGTGGGTTCCCTTATTTAAGCTAAATTTACTAGTTAAACATTGACATTTGTGTAATATAATCAAATAATTTGAGTACATCTGAAAACCCAATATACTTCCACTTTTAAAATAATATTCTTATTATAGGAAAAGTGTTAAGCACTAATACTTTAAATGTACAAACTTGGTTGCTCCCATAAATATTTACTCACATTATAAACACGTTTGAATCTAATTAATGCCCATTGCTATACCTGAGCATTAAAAGTGCTTATTGTATTACTTTCAAAAATAAATACGATACTTCCCTAGATAAACCTTCATCCTGTAGAATTCACCCTTATATTGAGTAATATTACAGTAGGTTCCAATAGACCTGTTGTTAGTATCCCAATTTACAAATGAAAATCTAATGTCTCAGAAATTCTGACAACTCTCTCTCAATGACAGAAACAATCTATGTATTTGTTAGCATTTACATGAATCAGGTGCACTAATTAACTTACAATAATTTTTGTAAAATTTTTTCAGTCAGAATATAACTTTCTGATGAAGGAAGGAGGCGCTAGCATTTTTAGTACTTTGGAGGGGAAACGAGCACTTTAAGGCCTCAGACTATTAATGCCGTGGCTTCTGTTTTCCATCCTAGTTGTCAGAGAGAATTGAAGAGAACATGGAGAGGCTGAGGGTAAGCCTGTCCATTTGGGAAGAGGTGCTTTCAAGTAAAGATGAGATCGAGGGCTGGTCAAACAACTCTGTTCCACAGCTGGCGGAAAGCGTCAGCAACCTGAATAACAGCCTCAGAGCCGAAGAATCTCTTAAAGAATTTGAGGTAAAGTGACTATGCCTACATAGAGGAGCTTGTGGTACATTGTCGACCAGAATATGAACAAAATTGTCTTTTTTTTAAAGTTCATTCTTCTTTTTAGAGACACATAAAAGTGTTACAAAACTCTTAACTATATTTTCCTATTTGCTTGAAATTTGAATAGGCTATGGATAAGAGGATTTTTTGCATTTTTATCACTTCCTAGTTGGGGCTCTTAATTTAAAGTATTAGTCAAAAGTAAAAGCCCATAAAATCTATAATTTTTCCCATTTATCTGAAAATGTGGCACCTTCCTACTTGAAAACCAAATTGGAAGTATTTATAATTTAGTGATATTTAGTATCTATGTTTCTTCATTCAAAGAGAAGAAACTGTTTGCTGTGTACTCACCATGTGCCATTATTATGCTATGTGCTGGATTCTTCCACTTCCTTTTCGGAAATGGAAGAAAATTGGAGATTGGAGAGTCACAGGCTTCCGTGGAGAGTCTCTAGTCACCAATTGACTTTAAACTCCTTTTATTCCCATTTCTTGCATTCATTTATTTATTCATTCATCAGATTCTTAATGTGCACCTAACATATGTCAGACACTGTTTTAGACACTGAAAATATCATAGTAAAAGAAACTTTTTTTCCTTCCCTCATGGAATTTACATTGCAATATATATTACATATAAAATGCCAAGTAGTAGCTGGGCTATGATAAAAATGAAGCAGGGTAAGGAGAAATAGCATGAAAAGATAATGACTTTAGTCTGAAAAAATATAGGTGAATGAATTGTGTTACTTATCTAGCTGTCTTTGACCCAGAGAACCTTCTAGATATTTTATAATCTCATTCTGATTTCTAAGGCAATCAGAAGTAGAAGAAATGATTCAGACTGAAAGTACGGACAAGGGTGGTGGATACTGCAGTCTCTTTAGTTGTCATCTCTAATGTCAAATTAACATCACAGTTCAAACTGTGATTTGTGTTGGATCCGGCTTGTACCAGCTGCAAATGTTGATTGTTTAATTTTTAGGGACTTTGTGAAAGTGTTAAAAGCATCCGTTATTAAAAATTAAACTACAAATAAATTTACAATTAAATTCTATTAAAAACAAAGGTAATAACGACCCAGAAATTATTACTTCCTGATTATTATTCTACATAAATACAGTAAATAAATTACTTTCTGAATTGAAAACATCAGGTGGTTTGTTAGTATCTGCAAAACACCAAAATACCATTTTTAAATTAAGAGGATTAACTTATTAAATGTTCCTTAGTGCCCCCAAATAACTAATGAAGTTTACAAGCATCTAATTTTTTCAAAATGATTCTCTGATTGTTCTTTTTTGTTTTTTATGTTATTGTTTGTTCAAAAAAAGGCAAAATATTATATGGCAATTACCTAATTAACCTGATTTCTGCTTTAATATCCTTCCAAGTTTTATTGAAATATTTATTTCATGTTACATATACCGTGCACTCCCAAAGTGTGTTTGCTTTGAAATGCTTCTTAAAGAGTTTCATGCTGCCATAGTAACCAGTGATATGAAAGTTAATGAGTAAATGACAGTTAGCCTATTGAAAATCTCCACTGACTCAAGACTTTTGGTTAGTGTTTAATTTTTTCCAGGAGCTTTTTTTCTCATAAAAGTGAGTGGAGAGAAGGAAAGTTCTGCCTACTCCCTCACATTCCAAGTGAACGTTAATTGTAATGTTTTTCCACATTCATAAATAACGACAGCCCTCAGAAAAGGAAACAAGAGATCTTTTTTTTTTACACTGGCTTAAAGTTGGGGTATTTTGACAAAGTTAGTTTTCAAAATTTTTGAGTGCCGAATATAGCACGTCAGTGTTTTTGATTAGACAAAGCCTCTCTCCTTTGTCTTATATTTTGGCAGTCTGAAGTTAAAAACAAAACATTGAGACTGGAAGAACTGTATTCCAAAGTTAATGATCTTAAAGAACTAACTAAAAATCCGGAAACACCACCAGACCTTCAGGTAAGCACTCAATCAGTTTTGTGATAACTACCATATACTAATCCCCCTCTCGGTCTCTGTCTCTCTGTGTCTTTCCAGGTCTCTCTCTTTCCTTCCCTCTCTCTCTCTCAAAAAAAAAAAAAATGTATATATATCTTTATCTGTCCTCATTGTCATCATCATAATTCCAACAAATATATGGATCTTAACATACATGGCAGTCAAAGTTTTGATTACCAAATAGGCCTGGATGTTTGAATTATGGAATTGAGACTGTTTTGCAATTTATAGTGTAAGTCCTTTTACTAACTAGGGGGCCAGAGAAGTTAATCCTCCTGAAATATATTTTAAAGGTCTTTCCAAGGAGAATTGAGAACAGGTTTTGGTCACCTCCTTGCTAGACCCTGTGTAGGTCTTCCTCTTTCCAGAATGTGATGTCACATTTCCCTGGAACCTCAGTCAAAAGTGCCACTTTTACCTCTAGTGTTAACTGTAATCCTTACTCTTTCTGTTTTCCCATCACTTAATATGTTTGACAACTGTGCCCACTGATTTTTCTTCTTGGAAAAGGGATATTAGCATTGGATCTGGCTCCCATGGTAAAGCTTAAGTGTTTTTGACAACCTGCATATGAACAGAATTCCCACGGAACAAGTGTTCTGGTCTTCACAGATTTTAACGAAATCTTATTTTATATTTAGTTTATTGAAGCAGACTTAAGGCAGAAACTGGAACACGCCAGAGAAATAACTGAAGTAGCAAAAGGAACCTTGAAAGATTTCACTGCTCAACGCACACAGGTGGAGAAATTTATTAATGACATAACAACATGGCTAACAAAAGTAGAAGAATCATTGATGAATTGTGCCCAGACTGAGACTTGTGAAGGATTGAAGAAAGTGAAGGTAAGTAATAAACTATCAAGTGCTTCCACTCAAATAGAGAAATTAGTTCTCCCAATTTGTGGTGACTATAATAAAAAATATAACCTCTGCTCTCAATTACCATGTTAACAGCAGACCAACTATTCATGACATTGAACATAGCAAAGTAAACAACAAGTGAAGAATTGAATGCAGGTGTTAAGAAATCAAAGATGAATAGAAACAGAATGAACAAATGAATAGAAACAGAAAGCATGCATTGCTGTAATAATGATTTTTTTTTTTGGTAAAAAAGTGAAGCCTATGGAAGACATATTTCATTTTCATGAATTTTTCAGCTTGAATATCAGATAGTTTTTCATCACTTAATTATTTTTATTGGTCAGTGTGACTTCTTTCATCTAGAGAATAGTATATTTTTGGGGGGAAAAGGAGTTGAGAAAACATTCCACTTCCATGTTGTCTGTTCGTGTTAACAGATAAAATTCCTCATCAACTTCTGTAAAGGACGTGCACTGAATTGACTTTTCGACATATCCAATTTGTTCTCTTTTGGCATATTTTATTACCGTACTGGAGACTAAAGGCATATATTTTTACATTAACTACTGGTGCTTTTGGTGTGGCCTGTGACCCTGAAACAAAGCTCAAGTGGCCTATTGAATGTGAACTGCGATAGTTTCTAATCAAGTGACTAAACCCAAAATCATGGACTGGGATCCATAAGAACCTATTCCATTTGCTTGAAATACTATACTACATCTCAATTCCTAGGTACCTTCCAACCCTTGTTTATTCCTGAGGAGAAATGGCAAAATTCTGAGAGCAGCAATACAGATCTATCACAAATATGCAAAAAGTCCCACCAAAATGTACACACTACTGAGTGGATTTCAAAAGCATCAATTTCAGATTTAAAAAAAAAAAATACTGTGGAGTAAATAGAGTGTATCTCTTGAATGGGATGAATATTCTTCATGATATACTTTTAATCTGTAGGATATACAAAAAGAACTCCAAAGTCAGCAGAGCAACATCAGCTCTACCCAAGAAAATCTCAATAGCTTGTGCCGCAAGTACCACTCAGCGGAGCTGGGGACCCTGGGCCACGCCATGACCGGGTTGATAAAGAAACACGAAGCTGTGAGCCAGCTGTGCTCCAAAACCCAGGCCAGCCTGCAGGATTCTCTGGAAAAACACTTCAATGGTGAGTTCTGACGGGCCTTTGCATGAGTAGTTTGTTTATAAGAAAGACTCCAAACCAAATGCTGCCTAGAAACGGCCAGCAAAAGTTTAAGAAAACTTTCCAGAAGGGTATCATTTTAAATTTATTTGTGCTTTGAGATTTGAGCAATAGAAGTGCTTTGCTCAGGCTTCTCACACTATGCAGAATTCTTCTTTCTTCCCAAGAAAGCAGGAGTCCACAATTTGGTGATTCTGAATTTGATCTGGATTTTCTACATGTAGCTCATGCATGTGGAAAATTACTTCCACTATTCAAGCGGCCAGCAGCCACTGTCCAAGTAACTACTGGAGTGTTTCATGTCATAATGAAGTGGCACAATAAGCTTGGGTGCTAGGAGAGGCCATGAGACAGTGGCAGCCACACAATCTGGGAGTTGCCCATCCTGTCCCCGCCTCCGCTTCCACACAGCTGTGCTTGTGCTCTGATGTGGATGCATAAGGAGTCTGGTTCCTACTGTGTCATAAAAATGGCTTTAATGTCCCTGGAACATTTCTCCCCTTGTACTCTTACATATTGAGTCAATTAATTATCTTTCTTCACCAAAAGAAAGAAAAACAATGGAAAATCAGACATTCCGGGAACACAAATTTTAGTCTTTCTCTGAGATAATTTCTCAATCCTACCATGAACAGTCAGGGTTGAAGATCATGCTATATCACTTTCTATATTATCATTTTCTTTCTGGAATATTTTGGAAGGCAGGAGGAGATGGGCTGAAGGCCAGAAATAATTCATGGTGGTAATCCTGGAAGCCCATTCAATGTTTTAGATTTATTCCTGATTTTTGTTACTTCCAAAAGAGTCCATGCAGGAATTCCAGGAATGGTTTTTAGGAGCAAAGGCAGCAGCAAAAGAATCATCAGATCGAACCGGCGACAGCAAAGTTCTAGAGGCAAAGCTCCACGACCTTCAGGTACGGAAGCTGGCATCCTTTCCCTTCTTCCCCAAACTGCACTCAAGTGCCTTCAGATCAGATCTAATTTATCATGTTTTTCAGATCCTCTTATTTGCGCCCATCTTTTCTTCCTCCCTAACAGAATTTGGCTTATTGAGTCAGAAGGAGACCTAGGCAACGTGAAAAGTACTGTGAGAAAAATAACTTAGTGCTAGAGAATTTCTAGATTCCTTTCTTCTCTCTTTTCAGCCTATTGACAATTCTTTAGAATTCATTCAAAACTAAACCTAATTTTTATAGAAGTAAAAGTATAATTAATTGTATCTATGTATATTATTATTATGTGAGAGTTTTAAAAAGAAGAAGACATGGCTTCTAGTTTTTTTTTTTTTTTTAAGTAACTTACGGTCTAAATGTGGAGATAGGATATATTAGATTAAGGTAACAGATATTACAGGTTTTATAGGTTTTACTGACTATGAAAAATGTATGAATTCAGGAAAGAGAAGGCCATGGTGAAGCAGAGTTAAGAAATTATTTGCAGAGGAGTAGGTTCAAATGAGGTTTTGACCAAGTTTTTCAAGCAGCTAATTTGAGCAAAGCACTATGTTGAGTATTGTAAAAAAAAAAAAAAAAAAATGAAAATTAACATAACAAGGACCATGAGGGTTTGGGGGCCTGATGAGTGATAAAAATGATGTAGAGAACTCATTATATTAGAAGTCAGGGTAGGAAGATTGTTATAGCAAAGGAAGCTGGTTTTGTAGGAGATGTAGTGAATTCACACATGCAACTGTCTCCTTTTAAGTTTGAGATGCAGTGAACTCCACAAAGAAATGTCTGAGCAACAATTTAAATGCCACTCTGGAGCTCTGGGGAGAGGCAGAGCTAGCACTGAATTCTGGGATGCTTTAGCTTTGTTGAAACCGTGCATAGATCTTGGTGCATACCACAGAAAGAAGGGGCCTGAGGACGGGATTTTGTGTTCAGGGTGGATCAGAGGAGGAGGAGGAAGGGCTGGAAGCAGCTAACCAGTTAGAGTGCTGTCACACTAACTGTGATAGGCAGTGGAACTTGGACCAGGTTGGGACAGTGAGAATGAGGAGAGTTAGAGAACGAGACCTTGATAAGAACTCTTCTCTTCCAGCTTGACATTGTTCACATTTTGCCCTCTGTGGTCCCAGTGACTGGCTGGCACCGTCCTCACCGAGGGGCCTTGATTATATCCAATTGTATGCATCATTCTCACTCCAACCCTGTTAGACAGTTTTTTCCCTTTGAACTCTGTTATTCTTTCTTGCACTACTGTCTCAGCCCACAATTGTAATGAATGCTCCCATGCAGGAGGGTTGCTGAATAATAGCAAATATTTTATATTACCTTTATTTCCTGAAACAGAACATTTTGGACTCAGTCAGTGATGGGCAGAGCAAGCTTGATGTGGTGACTCAAGAAGGACAAACTTTATATGCACATTTGTCTAAACAAATTGTCAGTAGCATTCAGGAACAAATTACAAAGGCTAATGAAGAATTTCAAGCATTTTTGAAACAATGCCTTAAAGACAAACAGACTCTTCAGGACTGTGCTTCAGAACTTGGGAGGTAGGTTGTTTTGATAAATGTAGATTTCATCATACACTGAATGTGTTTTTGAAGACTTAGAGAAAAAGAGTCACGTAAATAAACAAATAATATTTGAAATTATGAGTTTAAATTATAACAGACTTTGACCTTAAGTATAGGTTAATACTAGGAAAGTAATCCATTGCTCAGATTCTGAAGTTATCATTTGACTTTATTTTCTACATAGAAAAAAAAAACCAAAGGAATAATATTTACTAGTAATTGAAAATAATATAAATACATATAATTTTTGTCTATTTGGTTAACTCAAGATATTAGAGCTTTCACACCTCAGTTTTTAGATTATCCAAGCCTTTTACCTGTATCCACTTCTGTTCAGATAGAGTCATGGAAGAAACCAACTATTGAATTCTATGGATCAAGATTCAAATCATTAATATTAACGTATGTTAATGAAGGTGAATATACAATTAGAAGGGAAAAAGCACTCATTACTTAGGGCAGAAAAGATGCCAGTATAATCAGATTGCCTTTCTGGTGGTAAACTAATTTGCCTGACTCTTGGAGAGTTTACATAGTTTCTAAAACTTAGAGATCTTGTGCTATATTCGAATTCTCTTAAGAAGTAAAGATGCAGAGACCACTTTCCCCTCTTTTTCCTGGGCTTCCACTGCCCCACTTATCCACTGGCCTCAATTCAAGGGTCTCTGTAGTAAGAAACAAAATTAAGTGCACATTGACGTAGGAATGTGATCTTGCTGACAATTACCAGCTGTGAACTCAATTCAGCTAACTGAAGAGATTCTTTTTCTGCTTGGATCGCAAAAGAAATTACCATGATTTTTCATTTTGTTACTGAAATAAGTAATAATTTGGATGGGCTTGTTTTTGAGGTTTTTTTTCATAACTTGAAAATTAATGAGATCTTAATTGCCATATAAAAGACATTGTGACCTCAGCTAGTAGAACTTACCTATTATAACAAGCATATAAGAATTTCTCTAAGGTGTTTTCTTTTCTTTAGCTTTGAGGATCAGCACAGAAAACTAAACTTATGGATCCATGAAATGGAAGAAAGGTTAAAGACAGAAAACTTGGGAGAGAGTAAACAGCACATTCCTGAGAAGAAAAATGAAGTTCATAAAGTCGAAATGTTTCTGGGAGAACTACTGGCTGCAAGGTATGATCCAGAAATGGAATTGGTTCTTTATCTGCTACCATGTTGTAGACTGGTTGGTTGGTTATTTGCTTTGGTGTTGGTTGGTTGGTTGGTTGGTTGGTCGTTGATGGTGGTTTGTCCTTGTCCCTGAATGTCTAGAATACAGGTGATCATGCTGCACTCTTTACAGCAGTGTGGTGGCCTGGTATGTGCAGGGTGGAAATTAGGAGCTCATCTGTATTCCAGTCCCACTTCTCTTTGCTCAAGAAATTGGGCAGATCACTTACCTCCTGGAACTCTGGATGCCAACCTTTAAACATTGTGTTAATAATTCTGTATCCTCTTCTCTGGGGTTATTTTGAGGATCAATTAACATATGTGAAGTTGATATGAAGAAAAGAAAACCACACATTCACAGTGACCCTAAAGATACAAATTACTGCTGTAGACCTCAAATTCCATGTATTCTTCACATATTTCATCCTCCCATTCCATTTCCCACCCACCTACCCTCATAATATTCTCAGTATTATGGTCATTAAGTCTGACTCTCCTTGTGGCTCCTGTTCTCCACTGCAATATGTATCTCTTCATTGCTTCCCTCTGAGAAAATGTTTCTGGCTCCTTTCCTAGGCAAAGTTCTCTGGTCTGTGCTTTTGACCCTACCACTTTCAGTGCATTGCTCCTTAAATTTGTGCTCTACCACTGGCGTTTTCAGTTGCTTTTGATCCATTGGAAAATAGAAAATTTTCCATTGGCTTGACCAAAAAATTTGGGCTCCTTAACTGTCCTCTTAAAGAGCAAGTGCACTCATGTGTGAAGCAGAAGGAGATAGCACCCACCTCGCTCAATCGGATAGATCAGCAACAATCGTCAATTGAGTAAAAATCACCTGATGAAGATCATAGTCATTCCTCATTTCCACCAAGGCCTCTTTTTGATCAGACATGCCTACCTAGTAAACCTTGTCTTGAAAAACAAACATGCAGACAAAAGAACAGCAGAACACATACTGACAACTGCTTGTTGGTGTGCAAGTGGGATGACTATTATAAAATGTTCCTGGAATGCTTTGGTCCTATCTCCAGAAGTCCTTACTATGCTGAAACTCTTTGCTTACTCTGTGCACCCCAACTTCCAACTATGAGTTCCTCAAGGTCAGGGACTTTAGATCTTTATCATCTTTATATTCCCATGGTCTAGTATAGTGCCAGAAAAATAGAAAATATTCACTGAATTAAGAGAATAATAGCATCATCTGACTATCCCAGCTACTCGAGAGGCTGAGGCAGGAGGATCACTTGAGCCCAGGAGTCTGAGGTTGCTGTGAGCTAGGCCGACACCACAGCACTCTAGCCCAGGCAACAGAGCGAGTCTCTGTCTCATAAATAAATAAATAAATAAATAAATAATAAATAACTTTACATATTCTCTGCTTTCATTTCTTCCCCACAGGCCGCTCTTTGCTTTGTATTACTTCTGCCGTCATTACTCTAAAACTGCATTAGAGAAAGTAGCCCAAATACCCTTCAACACTAAATTCAAAGTCTTTCTTTATTCCTCATTGTTTTTCTGATAATTTCAGCTTTTAACATCGATGAAGACACAGTCCTTGCAATTTTACTCTCTGATATTCTGGGACCAGATGCTAGAAGACCTTAGATGGGCTGGCTTCTGGGTTCTTTCCCTCCAAACTGGCCACTTTTTGGGACAGTTCTAACACACTTGTGCTGGTCACTCAGATTCCCAAACTGGGTCACCTGACTTCTTTCACTTGCTTACTGCTTGCTCCTCCAGTCTTCTCGATTTTTTTCACCCTAATGTTTCTAATATTTCAAATATTTTGGGGAGATGCTTTGTGTAAAACTACCCAGCTTGAGACGCATTGAAATTTTATCATCCATTGAGCAACTCATCTTGTAGTAACAAGTGAAGTCTCTTGTCTTGAATTATTATTTAACTCATACCATTGCCAAAGCCACCTTCTTGTCTCACCAAACAGGTCACAAGTATAACAAGTGTCTTTCTAAGTCAATGTAACTCTTTGTATGTCTCAGGGTGGCCCATAGGATGCTGTTTACATGGTAGCTGCTCAAAAAAAAGTTGAGACATTGTAGGAGGTTCGATTTGTGTTCTTTTTCTAGTAGTCACAACAGTTTGTGTTAAGACATTTTCACTCTCCCTTCTGGTATTCTGGGCTTTTCCTGATAGACATGCTTATAAGAATTCAGAACTTTAAACACAGAATGAAACTGACCAAGCTACATAGCGATTCAGTTTTTCCCTCGATCTGATTAACATAGCTCCAAACTAAGATGAACACAATACCCGAGACTGACAAGGAAACTCATAAGCACTTTTAAAAATGGCCTTTCGAGAGAAACTTTTTTTTCCCACTTTGTCTCTGTCCAACATTGTGTTGGATGCTGGGACTATAAGTTGACTATAATAGTGCTGGCTTCTGGAAAGGACAGCCTTGTGGATCAGAACAGACGGTACGTGAGGTGTCAGAGCAAGAGGAGGGGCAGAGGGCGCACACGAGAGGGTCCTGCACTCTCCGCCCTCCTGCGCTGGCGTGAGTGCTTCCTGGGAGCGTGGTGCCTGAGCTGAATTTTCAAGGGGCAGCCAGGAGTGGAACAGAGGAGGGGAGGAGGGTTTTCACAAAGGAGGAATCTCTGTGTCTATACAAAATAGCAGAGTGTGTTGGGGATTTCAGGGAGCTTTTCATCATTGGAGCATTAAAGTAAGAATGGAGAGATGCTAGAGATGAGCTGGGAGAGGCAGCCGGGCCCACTTGTAGTTTAATCCCTACTACGGTGCATTCTATCAGTGCTGTTTGCGTGCGGGCACAGCGCACACTGCATTGCATCCCCGACATGTATTGGCTGCGTTAGGAGACACCATAAGAAAAGGCAAGCAGCCAGCCCAGTTCCCAGCATCTTTATTTTAAAGGCATGTCAGCTATGAGCTTGTGTCTGGTTCCTGCTCCAATGTCAACAATCCTTTGCCACTCCTCCCTGTACTCCAGAACATCAGAATTAAGATTTTTTTCCTATTTTTTTTTTTTTCTTAGAGAGTCTCTTGATAAGCTTTCCCAGAGAGGGCAGCTTCTGAGTGAAGAAGGCCACGGAGCTGGGCAGGAAGGACGCCTGTGCTCCCAGCTCCTCACGAGCTACCATAACTTACTCAGAATGACCAAAGAGAAACTCCGGAGCTGCCAGGTGGCCCTGCAGGAGCACGAAGCCCTGGAAGAAGCCTTGCAGAGCATGTGGTCCTGGGTGAAAGCTGTTCAGGACAGACTGGCCGGGGCAGAGAGCACCCTCGGGAGCAAAGACACTTTGGAAAAACGGCTGTCGCAACTACAGGTATGTGGGGCACCAGCCGGCAGCACAGTACACATGTGGGGGCTGGGATTGAAGCGAGCGAGGGTGTGTTGAAATCACAGAGCAGATCACCAACCCAGACTGTAGTCAATGAAGGTGACCTTGACAGAGAGGAATTAGGGGACTGCTGGGTTTTGGACAGGTGTGTCTTCATTTTCAAAATAATTTCTTTTGACTCTTTGAAACTGAAATCAATAAAATTATAATTTCTAGGCTAGGGGCCCAAAGTTTTCTAAGAATTTAAATTGGAGCTAATCTTGGTCTCCCAGACTCCCAGGTATCTGATTTTAAGGATTGTGTTGTATTGCAATAGCGTCCAGAGTTTGTTGTTGTTTTTCTTTTAAGGGGAGTAAAGTATTCCCTATCTTAATTCTCATGGGAAACATAGCCATTTTTGAAAATAGCAGAAGGTTTTTATATTCCTACTGACAAGTGTTCCTCCTTCCTTCCCAGGACATTCTCCTGATGAGAGGGGAAGGTGAAGTTAAGTTGAACATGGCCATCGGCAAAGGGGAACAGGCCCTGAGAAGTAGCAACACAGAAGGCCAGAAGGTGATTCAGACCCAGCTGGAGACCCTGAAGGACGTGTGGGCTGACATCATGAGCTCCTCCCTGCGTGCTCAGAGGTACAGAGTCTATTTTTAGTGTTTATTTGCCTAAGTAAAACCCAGTGTCTTGGTAAAATGATGGCGCAGTGCTGAGGGATCCTGGGGTAGAATTACCAAGCATGTTATTTTAGCTTGTTGTATGCATACCTGTCTTTGCCTGCATTGTATTTTCCCAGGGCAAAGACTGGTTTTTGTCTGTTAGCTTTTTCTGTGTCTACATTTTTGTTTTTGTTTTTTAATATTTACATCTCCCCTCATATCTCTCATGGAATCTTGCAAATAATATGGGCTCACTAAAATACATCCTTTCAAGTCATCAAAGCAATGATATGTGGTACTTTAAGAATTCTAATCAGTTTTAGCTTTTTAAAGGAACGTACGGGAAATTAAGCTGTTGGTGACTGTTGAGCTTAAGTATAAATCTATTGCTCAAGCAGAAGTAATGATACCATCCACGCTGGGGTTGCAGGAAACGTGTGGGGTGGTTTTGATTGTCACTGTGATAGGGATATCCCTTGCATTTAGTGAGTGAGGCAAGGGAAGCTAACATCCTGCAAAGTGTGGACCATTCTCCCATCAGCCCAGCCAGAATAGAGCCCAGCCCTAGAGCCTCTGTTGAAAGCACTGTACCAAACACTGACAAGGAAGTACAGATCTTGATGGTTATACCAGGTGGTGTTTTTATTGTTATTGTTGTATTTTTGAATGGAAAATATCCACCTCCCTTCTTCTTGGAGTATCCACAAATTATCTGGCCAGCTTGGTGGACAAATGACCATTAGTCAGAAAAGCACATCTTAGGAGCCATATTCTGAAGGTTATATTTACTGTCAGACACTGACAAAGTGAGTCCCCAATGTGATCACAACAAATAGATGAGCAGAAGATTGAAGTTCATTGCCAAACAAAACAAAAAAACCACTGCAGTTATCCACTGTAAGGTAAGCAATAAGCACTGCTTACAACTAAAATTTGGGAGGTTTTTTTGTTTTGTTTTTGAGACACAGTCTTGCACTGTTGCCCAGGCTGGAGTGCAGTGGCGCAGTCATAGCTCACTGCAGCCTCCAACTCCTGGTCTCAAGCGATCCTCCTGCCTCAACCTCCCAAAGTGCTAGACTTATAGGCGTGAGACACCACACCCAGCAGGAGGTTGTTTTTTTTTTCCTTTAATATGGAGCATGGGTGGTGACTGTCAATGTCAGCAGGACTCTGCATCTTAGTAATAACTCAAATGGTCAGCAAGAAAAAAATCAGATCCTATGGTCATCTACTTGTCCAGTAGATTGCTGGAGCATGAACTAAACTTCCCAAGGTCAGCTTCCTAAAAGTTAAAGGAATGTGGGTGAATATTTTTCAGATGGTAGAATAAAATGTTAAATACAGGAAATGAGATCCCTGACTTCCCTATTTCAGCAAGAGATTAAATTTGACAACTACATATTGAGCAGTAGCAATGCTCAAATTGTTGTGTTAAAATAATCAGACAAAACAAAGGATTTTACCCTCTAAGAGCTCAGAGGCTAGGCTAGGATATCTTTCAGAAAAGCTCTGACTCAGACTGTTTTACTGTGAGTTTTCAATAGACACTCGGAGGCTATAGAAGAATGCAGAGTCTGGGATGACTTCTGGAGAAGAAACATTGATTTGGACTTTTTAGAAAATTCTTTGAGGAACAGATAGGACTTTGAGGCTTCTATAATGAAGTTCCTATGGATGCAAAAGCAATGACGTGAACAAATGCTGGAAGTACATTTACCACAAGATCTTAACTCCAGGATCACAAGCTTGTATGCAAGGGAGGCTTGGAGGGAGTGTCACTGAAGATGAGTTTTGAACAGTTTGTAAAGCTGAATAATGGAGGGATTTTTCTTTTCGAATGGTCATCTAGAGAGCCTTTCCTTTGACTATCTGGAAAGCTATTATATTTGTGATTATATTTCTTATAAATATGTGAGCATTCATTCACACATTCAACACATAAGCACCATATATATATATAATATATATATATAGTGTGTGTGTATGCATATATATATATAATATCCCTAAATGAAAATCAATCTAATGATATTATTTACCCAGAAAGAATACTTTGAATTTTAAGTTCCGGTCAACAAGTAATTACTGTCTAATTTCAATAAGATCAACTAAGCCCAAGAATATTAAGAACGGATAAACACTAAATAAAATATAATTGATATTCCAGTGTTGATTTTTAATAACATAACAGATAAATTCGTCTGCTCATTTAGGACAATAGCATGTGGAAGATAAATCTCCAGATGCATGTATGATTACAGCTTCTGTCTTCAAATTTTAACACAGATTTACTTTGTTTGAAGGAACAGTGTTACGAGTCTTACGGATCAGGGAAGTAGTGTTTCTCCCTGCACTGAAAAACAACAATTTTCATCACTTACAGTAGCATTTAGTAAAAAAATTTACATGGATATGTGATGACCCTGTAATTGGTTTTTGGTAGAGATGTCAAGATAACTCATTTTTATAACATGTCACATTAATTCTAGCACTTTAGAGTCTGTGATTTGCCAGTGGAATGACTATCTAGAGAGGAAAAACCAGTTGGAACAGTGGATGGAATCAGTGGATGAAAATGTAGAGCATCCCTTACAGCTGCAGCCGGGTCTAAAGGAGAAGTTCTCCCTGCTGGATCACTTTCAGTCCATCCTGTCTGAGGCGGAAGATCACGCCAGAGCCCTTCACCGCCTCGCTGCGAAGTCCAGGGAGCTCTACGAGAAGACTGAGGATGAGTCTTTCAAGGACATAGCTCAAGAGGAACTGAAAACACAGTTTAATGATATAGTGACTGTGGCCAAGGTTAGTGCTTTATACCAAAAAAAAACCTGTTGATTAAGTTATTGGAGAATTGGCTGCTCTAAAAATGTACGTTTAGTGAAGAAATATTACATAAATAGCATTTCTTACCTATGAATGCCCATGCATTTTTCTCTCTCTGAAATTTTGAGATGATTCTTTATTCTTTGTTTTTTGTCTTTCTCCACTTTTTTCATCAACCCATCTATATTTGTTGTAAGATTGAACATCAAATGTCAGTGTTTGAAGGTTTTTTTCTTTTGCTGCACTTTTTTTTTTGTTATATTAAATGCAAGTCTGTTTACTTCCCGGATTTCAATCATGTACAAAGCATTGTATTCATTTCTCATCTTGGTAAAAACTGTATTTTTCTATTTTCCAAAGTATGGGCTCCTTCATGTGATATCAAATTTTTTTTCAATTCTCTATATGAATCTTCATTTTTTCCATGATTTTTCTTTTGTATATTTGTGAATGTTACAGATATTAAGGGAGAGTTTTTATTGTTGTTGTTTTGTCTTCTTTGGTTTGCCTTTTGGGGAACTTTCTTTGTCTTATAGATACTACAATTATTAACATATGTGCTGTTTATCTTCATTTTCATCTTGGTAATGACTAAGAGCTGTGACTCTAGAGTCAAAAAACCTAAGTTTGAATTCTGGCTTTGACACTTTTTGACTGTGTGACTTTGGGCACATTACACACTACTTAACCAGTTTGTGTCTTTTTCTGTAAAATGATAATAATACTAGAATCTACATCACAGGGCTGTTGTGAGGATTAAATGAGAAAATGCATCTAAAATGCTGAGCAGAATGTTATACACCAAGCTAACACAAATAATTGCTTTAATACTAAGAATAGTTATTATAATATTATTATTAAGTGGACTGTCAGTGAGAGATGTTAGCCTACATACATTAAGCATAGATTTTTATGCTAAGGTAGATAATAGTAAACTTACAGGAAAAATGGTTCTTCTTCAAAGCCTTTCAGTTTAATTAAGATTTGATAGTTTCTTTTTAAGATATTAAACTCAGAGAAAATTTAAGAACAGGAATGAAATCCAAGATATATTAAGAGACCTATATCAGGCCTATTGTCCTATCTGATTTCATGTTCTCAATAATGACTCCTGTTAAAGTAGTGTTGTCTTTGTTTACTAGGAGAAAATGAGAAAAGTGGAAGAGATTGTGAAAGATCATATAATGTATCTTGATGCAGTTCAGGAATTCACGGATTGGCTCCACTCAGCAAAGGAAGAACTGCACCGGTGGTCAGATATGTCTGAAGATTCATCAGCCACCCAGAAAAAGTTGTTGAAAATTAAGGTCAGAAAATGGACAGATATAACCTCACTCTGAAGAAGGTGGTCAGCATCATAGATGCAGCAGGAGGCTGCCATTGATAGGAAGACTGAAGAGTGCCCATGAGATTTGACAGGCTATTTGGAAACCACCCTGAGAACCATTTGCAAAGCAAGGGGAGGTGGCGAACCAGATTCCATGGATCTAGGAGTAAATGGCAGATGAGCAAGATAGGGTGGCAAAGATGGACTAGTGTTTTGAAAAGTTAATGTGAGAACATAAGATAATTCTTCTACAAAGACTGCTTCGTGGGTTGCCAAATGTCTTTAAAAAAAAAGATTTCATAAAATGCTTCCAAAAAAATAAGAAATATAGGAGAAAAAATTGACAGACAGAAATTGGAATTTGGGAAGGAGAAAGTGAAGGCTGTCAGAGGCTGCCTCTGAAGTTCAGGTCAGGAGAACACCTTGGAGGAAATACACAAAGCACCTCCGCTGTCCTTCTTTGCCAATCCCACCCCATCCCCAGGAGTAACCACTGAGAAAAGGCAACTCTAAAGGAAAACATGTATGTGCATGAGGGTGTGAATGTGCACATATATGTATGAGTGTATAATATTTTTAAAGAATTTAAATACAAGATAAGAAAATATATGCAAAAGTCATTTCAAAACCCTTTATGATGATGATGTCCTTATTCAAAATCTGGATGAGTGGAATTAGAAATTGCAAATATTGAAATGTTCCATTTTCATGCCTAAGAAAACTGGGAGGGAATATTTTGGCAAACTGAATTTTGACAGTTGATACTGACCTCTAGATTAGAAATCACTCACAAAGTCACATTATTATAAGTATTTAAATCTATTAGTTAGACATAGCACTTGTTAAAAATTACACTTTTTCTTCATCAAATCAGTAATTACCATACGTATTGAAAAACAAGGATAGTTTTTAGAATCCTCCTGCTAAAAAAGTTCAATATGTATATTAAAGCTAACTGTGCATAAGGATTTTCATTTGATTGTGCTACTTTCAAATGATATATACTAAAATGTGGCTGTATTGTTTATAATTGTGAGAAATATTTATGTCAAGCTAATTTAATGAAATGCAAACACTATTATATAGACTAGTTAAGACATTCTTTATGCTTAACATAATTTATTAAGCACACTTCATATTTAACATCCCAATTTTTCTTTACTTGCTAATTTATAAATGATTTTCTTCTTGATGTTTATTTTGTCCCTAATAATCATCTTTTCCTTCTATTTAGTCCAGTAATGAAGTCATAATTTTGTATTAATTTTCACAAAATCCTGGCTTTAGCAATGGATATGTAAATATATAAACACCAGATGATGATTTCATCAAGAAAAATTTCAGTAAAAAAAAACTGTTCTCAGAGAGAAATACCACTATTATACATATTTAATTTTATCCTGTTGTCCTTTAGAGTATTTGTGTGCTTTAAGACTAAAGCTATAGCTAAATTATTAAATTTCTAGTGAGTTTTTAAAAGGTAAAAATAATAATAATAAACGAACCCAAGTCTAGAATTTAAACTTTGGATTAAGCATGTCTGTGAATTTTTCATTTTAGTTGCTATAAAAATGTTTAGTTAAGGTACTGAAATTTTTGAAGTTGGATAGGGCTCATTCTTTTGTTGTGATGGGTCAGCTTGATTCCTGGGGGGACGGAAGTGTGATTGAAGCCACCATCTTGTAGAAGATGACATGTGGTAGAGATTGTGAGCAGAGCACAGTTTTGCTGCAATCCTTATTCACTTGTCCGTCCATTTAGGGGGAAATACAGATTCAATCATTTATAGGAACAGTATGCCACAGGAAAATATTTAAGTCACTATCAAAACATTTTCGTATATTCAAACAATGCCTGATTTCGGGGTCCCTGTTTAGTCTGTTTCAAGACATTGCGAATTCTCGGGTTATCTTGCCATAAGCCTCAGCACTTTCGATGATGATTCCCTGCTACTATAATTTAGGAGTGGTTAGAGGAATTGATTCTGGTTCCTTGTGGCACACTTGCTAAAACTTCCTAGCAGGACAGAGTCCCCTTCTGCACACATTTGGAAACTTGCAGCCCAAGTGACTCACAGCCTCCTTGGTTACCATGGTGATATTCCATTACAGGAGCTGATAGATTCCAGAGAGATTGGTGCAAGCCGCCTAAGCAGAGTGGAGTCGCTGGCTCCTGAAGTGAAACAGAACACAACTGCCAGTGGGTGTGAGCTCATGCACGCGGAGATGCAGGCCCTGCGCGCCGACTGGAAGCAGTGGGAAGACAGTGTATTCCAGACGCAGCGCAGCTTGGAGAACCTGGTTAGCCAAATGGCTCTTTCGGAACAGGAGTTCTCAGGCCAAGTGGTTCAGCTCGAGCAGGCCCTGGAAGAGTTCAGTGCCCTTCTGAAAACCTGGACTCAGCAGTTAACCCTCCTGGAAGGCAAGAACACGGATGAGGAGACAGTGGAATGCTGGCACAAGGGACAAGTAAGTCCGCTTCCTGTTTTCTGTGGGTGGTTATGCTAAAAAAATTTTTTTGACTCTCACTGTTACTTTAAAACAAAAAGAAATTTCTTGCTAAATAAAAACATGCAATATGCAGGCTTGGAGGAAGTGTTTATCTAGTTAAATTTACAAAGTCTGATCTTTTTCCTCTTCTCATAAATCAAACTCTCGTAAAAAGAAAGATTTGAGGAAGAAGGAGTTATTATTTGCCATAGGAAACATTTATTGTTCGTGGAGACATTTTACTTTCATTCTTATGGTGTAAGAATTTGTAATAGTGTATTCAGCCATGCAGACTGAAAAATAGCCTGTGGGCTGAGGCATAAATAGACAGAGAGTCATAGCTGTTTCCTTGCCAGTTAACTATTTCAAGCAATTAAATGATTGAATTTATAGCATTAAAAGACTCATTTGGTAATCTGCTAAAGCACAGCTAATAGTTTTCTTCCTGATTAGCGCTCCTCTGTGTGGTTTTGACAGCTGTACTTGAATTAGCCCGTTAACCGAACTCCTACGTCAAGCGCCCTGTTGCCTTCCCAGCCTTTTTTTTTTTTTTTTTTAAACAAATGGCAGCTTCTTCAAACTGTGAGAAAGGGAAACACAGCAGGGATAGTGCAGAATGGGCAGGAGCTTGACATTTTCTTCCTTTTTTTTTTTTTTTTCGAACTGTTAAATAGTATCTTTGAAAGCCTTTTCAATATTTGCAATTTTATAATGCCCTAAATCATGGATGTCCTTAAAAGGAAGTTTAGTAAAGTAAACTTCTCTGCTTCTATTTATGTTATAATCGTTTCAAAATAGCTCCAGCCAGTAAGAAAGTCATGTAGTATTTCCAGCATTGTCTTGTTTTAAACCAAGTATTTGAAACAAATTTAGCATACCATAAATTAAAACTTTATAATTATCTCTTTATGCTGTTTGATTTATAATCTTTCCAGGTTTATTGTTTTTGTTGTTGTTATGCATTTCTTGTCCTTTAGGTTTACACACCAGAATAAAGCTTAGAAATCAGTTCTGTGAGACAGGGACGAAGAAGTTGGCAATTGTTCCATGTGGTTCTGATATGAGAAAATCAATTATGCTATTTTGGCATCTTTTCATTTTCCTTTCTTTCCATTTCATTAATATGAGTGAAATTTTTAAAAAAACAAAGATTTGGTTATACCTAGGTGATAAATACTATTCTCAGTTATTGTTATTTCTTACATTGATTCTATTAGTGAAAATAATAGTTAAGGACTATAAAAATACACACGATAATGCAATAGTAAATATGAGCTTTTATTATAGTAGTTTTAACAATTCAAGAATATCAGCCCTCTGTTTAGGTCCACTTCCAGATTTGACTCTAGGGCTAATGTTTTTGATGACAATACTACATTTTCTCTCAACATTCATTTTCTTTTATTTCTAATAATGGAATTTTATCTAAAAGTGGAGGTAATACTTCGATTATTATTATTTTATAACTATTATTTTATGTTTACAAAATAAAGTAGATTTGCTAGGGTTCATATGGCATTGTTTTGCTGTTATGGAGGCCTTGTTGATGACAATCAAAATAATAATCACAAGTATTTATTTTATGCAATTAAATGACAATACTCAAGAAATCTTTTAAAGTATAAGAAAAGATGATTTATAAACTATGTAATACAATGTGGCAAAAAATTCTGTTTACTGTGTTTGTAAAACTTGTTTATCTTAATGTCCATTGGATTATTAGTATTGGAAATATAGCAGTTTTCTTAAGCTGTATAAGGGGGGAAAATGCATTCTAGCATGTAACCAAATCAGAAGTGTGGAACTTTATATAATGAAAAAAAAAAACTCTACTGGCATGCTTTAATTTAAGTTGAATTTATAGAAATTTTTTTAATGTAAAATTTTGATGAAAAGCTTTTTTTAATGTCATCTCAAATTTATAAGTGACTGACTTGAATCTCAGTATTTTTACTTTTTTAGTATGTGGTAAGTTGCTTTAGACTTTATAATGTTCTCCCTTAAATAAAAGGTTCAATATGACATAAATTGTTCCTAGTTTGGCATTTGGAGTTTCAGAGAGAAACTATCTAGTTATTATTTATGAATTTTTATGAATGAAATGTTTTAGACTCTTGTAGCCCAGACACTAAGCTAAATAAAGAATTGACAGACCAAGAGAACACCCTCCGTGCTCTCATGACCGCGGTGTAGGTGAAAAGACACACAGGTACAAAGCCAGTGGGCTGCTCATCGTGGGGAACGCCCACAGGTGCTCTGTGACCTCAGAGGAGAAGCCCTAAGAGGTGGGAGGGAGGGCAGAGGAGACTTAGAGGAATCATTTTTTTTAATTTATTTTTATTTCAGGATATTATGAGGGTACGAACATTTTGGTTACATTTTATGTCTTTGCCTAACCCAGGTAAGGATTAGAGGCATGCCTTTCCTCTCTGCAACACTTACCGTGTCCATTGGTTGTGAGTTTACCACCCCCAACCCCCTAATCCCTGGAGAATATTACTACCCTGTGATCACCATAGTGTTGATCGGTCAGTGCCAATTTGATGGCAAGTACATGTGGAGCCTATTCTTCCCATCTTGTGATACCTCACTTCGGATAATGGGCTCAAGCTCAATCGAGGAAAATATAAGAGGTGCTAGATCAATGTTGTTTCTTATAATTAAGTAATATTCCATTGTATACATATACCAAATTTTAATAATCCACTCATGAATTGATGGGCACTTGGGTTGTTTCCACATCCTTGCAATAGTGAATTGTGCTGCCATAAACATTCGACTGCAAATCATTATTTGAGCTGAGTCTTGGGGCATGATTACAACTTGACTGGATAGGTGAGAGAGGGGAACAGCACCAAAATGCAGAATTACTGAGGAATGAGAAATCACAGGAGAGGAAAGTAGAGGACAGTAGGCAAATTAGGAGGATTCTGTGCCATTCCAGAAAGAAATGATGGAGATGTCATGGGTCTGTGAGAGTCAACATGCAGAGGCAAAGACGGGCGTGATGAAACGAGCTAAGGCACAGAGGAGGCTAGACTGGGTGTCCCTTTCATGGAGTGAGAAGGGAAACAAAGGGAGAGGCCAAGATCCTGTTCAGTCTTCTCATTTACATCCGCTGGAGGACAGCGATGCCATTTACCAGGATGAGGATGCAACACAGACCTGGTTTGTTGAGGGATGTGCTTTCTCTTCAGATCTGGGCCATCTCTCGATAAATATCTCCGAGAATAATAATAGTAACAGCAACAGCTATTTGAGTAGTTACTCATCTTTTTGTACCTCCTCCTCAATTTATTTGGTTGCTTTGGTGATAGCACTATCCACACAGTGTTTAAATATACAAGAGTCATTTTCCTGCTGATTTCACTAATTAGGCACTTAGTGTGTTAGAAATTGTGCTAAGTGTTTGTCACTCATGATCTCATTTGCTCCTTGTGACAACTCTGTAAGAGGAACACTCCGATTGCAAAGCACCTTGTGTAACTCAGCTGACCATGGCATTGATTTCAGAGGTGTACTCTTCAATTCCTAAGAATTCATTTTGGATTAGGTACACTGTTTTTCATGTGTCTCCCTTGCTTCATTTGGGCAGGTGGGGGTGGGGAAGGTCCCAGAATCCAGCAAAATACTTGGCATATAGCAGATATTTAGCAAATATTTGATGGCTATATGAATGAAACTATGAAACAAATGAATTACAGTTAAATGAGACCTATGGATTATAAAAAATTCTTAATGTAAATGTTAACTGTATATGCCACATAAAATTAATTGCTGTATACATTTTAATCCAAAATAAGTGTTGCTTTTTTTTGCAGTGATTTCTCTTCACCTTTAAACAATATACTTATCTCCCAATGACCTAGTCAAACTATTTTTAAACAATGTAGGTTCTCTTTTCTTTTTCTTGATTCATTTTCAGTCCTTTGGCCAGTTAATCACTGGCTACTCTACAACATTTGACGCTACAGTGTCTGTCCATGGCTAGAAAACTAGAAAAGGAGACAAATTAGCTAAGTGCTATTATTTGCAAGGGGAATTCTGGATATAGGCCTCATTTCTTTATTGAATCTATGTGTTGGTCCCTCCCTCACTAATAATTTGTAATATAATTTATGCCTGTATAGTATGAGGATATGAGAATGACCCAATGTAAATGCTCCCTTCTTTGTCTTGTTATTTCCTAAAAGGAGATACTAGATGCTCTACAAAAAGCAGAGCCTAGAACAGAGGATCTCAAGTCTCAGCTGAATGAACTTTGTCGATTTTCCAGAGACCTGAGTTCATACAGTGGGAAAGTTTCTGGCTTAATTAAAGAATATAATTGGTGAGCATGGACTTTATTGGTATTTAAAATATTTTTATGCTAGAGGTTTATTTTAAGGTATAATTTCAAAATGATATTAATTAAGCCATAAATACATTAATAAATGAGGTAAGTATACATTCTAAGAACTGATTCCATCAAACATTATTTTAATCAACTTTATCAATTTTTTGCCTTTATCAAATTGTCAAATCATTTTTTCAGTCTTTGTTTGCAAGCATCCAAGGGCTGCCAGAATAAAGAACAGATTTTACAGCAAAGATTTCGAAAAGCCTTGAGGGATTTCCAGCAGTGGTTGGTTAATGCAAAAACCACTACCGCCAAATGTTTTGATATACCTCAAAATATTAGTGAAGTTTCAACAAGTCTTCAGAAAATACAGGTAAGAGCGTTATCAATTAATCCTAATAATGGTTAATTAATTCTAATAATTAATTGTAATAATAGGATTAAAAAGGTACCTCTAGATCTTTTTGGTAGTGCGTTGCATATTAAAGTTTTGCTTAAGAAACTGAAATTTCACATAAATTCCCACTTGAAATGGTTGATTTTGTATGTGAAGGGAAACTAGTCTGTTTATATAAGTACATACTATTTTTACTTGTGAATAAGGATTTAGGAAATAATAAAAGCTCTTTCTATGTGACGAACATTGAATTGTGCCTAAGCACCCTAAGTGGATTTTCTCATTTAATTTTCACAATAACCATATCAGGTACGTAAGATTATCATCCCCAGTATACAGATAGCATAAAAGAAATTTAGCAAGGTCGCAGAGCTGCTGTGTAAAATAGCCAGATTTATCACAGGTAGATTTTATGTTTGTTCATTTTTTTTCTCTAGTCCTTTCCTTTACCTAATTGCAACTTCATCGTGCCATTCTACATGTCACCTTCAACAGCAGCCTTTTTTAGGCACAGTTGTTGAAACTGCCTTTCATACCTGTGCATGTCTGATTATTCCATATACTAGCAGTCCCGAAAGATTGGTGATGAAATTTGAATTTTTTTCAGAGGACATATGTATATAGAAAACTATTTATACATGCTCATGCTTGAAGTTTTTCTAGTAGGAGCAGGCTCTGAAACAGTATTGCCCATATCTCGTTCACCAATTCGAATTCTTGGTTTATAATATAATAGGATAACTCTTGCTTTGAAGATTGGCTCCATTTAAAATTCTTCCAATTTTGCTTCGGGTTGAGGAGTAGAACTTTGAAACCTCATTCACCCATTTGTCTGTGTTGGAGAAACCCAGAACTATTTTTGAGGACAGGCTTTGGCCTTTTCTCTGGCCTTCCCACCTCAGTACAGCTCCATGTATGGGGGTGGCCATCCATGGAGACAAACATCCTGGGAGGTTCCTTCAAACAAAACCCACAACATAGAGTATCTATGCTTCTGTTTCCTGTCAGAATAAATAACCTTGAGCTTGGGCTTTCCATTTCTTCTCTAACGTTTGAAAATATTAATGGGAGTTGACTATAGAATACATACAGAATCCACCTATTTTTCTAGAGAAAAATTATATTCCTTTTTTTTTTTTTTTTTGAGACAGAGTCTTGCTCTGTCACTTGGGCTAGAATGTTGTGGCATCAGTCTAACTCACAGGAACCTCAAACTCCTAGCTCAGGTCATTCTCCTGCCTCAGCCTCTCGAGTAGTTGGGACTACAGGTGCTCGCCACCATGTCTGGCTAATTTTTAGTAGAGACAGGATCTTGCTCTTGTTCAGGCTGGTCTTGAACTCCTGACCTCAAGCGATCCTCCCACCTTTGCCTCCCAAAGTGCTAAGATTATAGGCATGAGCCACTGTGGCCAGCCTGTTGTCATTTTTTGATAAACTACCACTAAAAATACTAAAAATGTAATCTACTCCATATAATAGCATTTGCTTTATTAAGACTACCGAGGAAAATTCACATCCTGTCTCTTTCTAAGAATAATTGTGCTTCTGCTGAGCAGATGGTTTCTTTTTATCATATGTGAGTTGTGTACCTGGTTGTGTTTACTCTTTTGCTTTGGCAGCTAAGATCCTCAGAGGCAAAGCCATAATCCAACTCCATCAATAATACAGAACAATAGGGCTTTTATTTTGTAAACTAATCTTAGCCAGAGTCTGTTTTATTTTACAACTCTTATTTTCCCTCGGTACTCATTTCCTCTCCTGTTTATTTTTATCTAATTGTTAATATTATATGAGACAGCTCATAACATTTTTGGGACAAGTCAGAATTTAGTAAATAAAATAATTTGCAGCTGGATTATTAAAGGAAGACCTGGGCCTTTTAATGTATACAATTAAAATAACTTGTTTCTTCTCTTTGATTTTAATGAGGAATATGTAGAAAAATCAATGTATTTTAAAGTGTAGAGCATTTTATCATGCTTAATTTTATATGTTTATTTATAGGAGTTTTTGTCCGAAAGTGAGAATGGACAGCATAAGCTAAACATGATGGTGTCTAAAGGAGAACTTCTGAGTACTCTGTTGACCAAAGAGAAAGCTAAAGGGATCCAGGCCAAAGTTGCAACTGCGAAAGAAGATTGGAAAAATTTTCATTCAAATCTCCACCAAAAGGAATCTGCCCTAGAGGTATATATAGTGTAGCCAACCACGTGGACATGTTCTGTGTTGTTTGTTGTTGTTGTTAATATAACCGAGTGCCACTATCAATGACTTTTGTCATCCCTCTTTGAATATAAATGGATAACTGGATAACTGTGAAATAGCTCAATGCTAGCAGAGGGAGCCTCCCTGAGCAATTAAGTAGCTTCGTGCATGGTGGGGTCTATTGTCACAGACTCGTCCCTCCACAGACAGCAGCTTTACATTTCAGCGTAGCACTTAACCTTTCATTTAAAATGCCTCAATATTTTCTTCAGAGGCAATATAAGCTGAATTTATCATAACCATCGAATAATTATTGCCACAATAATTTTTTCTTCTGAGAGCATCTATTTTATGTAGCAATTCTTCTCTTAGAGGAAAATTTTAGAGACATGGGGAGTATCTTTTCCTTTTAAAACAATACTTCCTGGCAGAATAGAGTCTTCATTTGATTATGACCATAATTAATGCAAGATAGAAAAAGATAATAGAGGATTAATATTCAGTAGGAGAAAATGTGTATTTCCTCAATTCTTTTCTAACCCAAGACCATTGAGTTCTCTTTTGTAACGGTGGCCGTTCTTTCATGGCAGGCATCCTCCACTTAACAGAGTGATAACCACTGTGTAGTGCCTAGAAATTTACAGTTAACCTTGCAGGAATCATTAATGCAATGTGACTTGAGCTCTGAAGCATCAGCTGTTGAGTTTAGTATGTCTAGCATTGATTGCAAGATTGCCTAGTTCAAGAGATGGGCAAAAGTAAGCAAGTAGGTCATGAATTGCCTGTTTTCTTAATCTGTTATTTCCCTCATGATTAAGTGTGATTCTTTTAATTTATTCCTGCCTCCCTCCTTTTCTCCCTCCTTCCTATTAGGAATAGGTACATAATAATGCCTATTATATAGATACATAATAATGCCTATTATGTGCCAGGCACTATGGAAAGAATCCAAATGGGTTAGTCTTTTGCCTTGCCTCAAGGAGTATGCTTTTTAGAGCAGAAACAGTATATAAAAAATTATTGCCATATAATATACGTACGTTCAGTGGTTAATAGCGAGTCATAGAAAGATGCCACTAACTCTATGTGAAGAAACCAAGGAAGGTTTCCAGAGAGGTGACATTTTAACTGAATCTTGATGGCTAAGTGTTCTTTGAATTTGCTGAAGTTGACATGCATTTCGCCTGGAAGGAATTGAAGGAATAGGGCCTCAACTATGAATAGGAAACTTGGAGAAGTTTGACACTGACATAGGGTTTTGCAAGAAGAACAATAGAGATAAAACTGGAGGTGAAGATTGGGCCAGGTAGTGAAATGTCTTGTGTGCTAAGCAATTTGACCTGGACTCTCACCCTAGGGTTTCTCATTTGAATCCCAGACACAGTTTTCCCAAAAATGAAACATAACCCATCCTATTCTAAATGCTTAGGAGAGAAGTTAATTCATTATATTCAATGGATGCTTTAGGGAACTAGGATTTGATTCTCTCAGACCCCGGGTGGGAAAGGTTGAGTGAGGAATCTGCAGGTCTTTTAGCTGGAGATAAACATGTCAATTCTCTGACCACAGTGTAAACCAGGACGGGGAATAGTAAGTTACTGAGAGACCAGAGAAAGATTTTCATAGTGATCCAGATGACAGAGACGAGGGCCTGCATGAAGAAAATAATAATAGGACAAAGAATCTCTTAAAACACAACAGGATTTGGTAACTAATTAGGTGAGGGGCATAGAGAAGAGAGAAAAGTTAAGTTTGAGTCCTCAGTTTCTAATTTGGAAGATGGCACAAATGGTGATGCCATTACCTGAGACATAAATATGGAAGGAAAAGTAGTTTTGGAGGGGATAACAAAAATTCACTCAATTTAATATACATTAAATTTTATGTGCCTTCCAGACATTTAGGGGCTAATGACCAAGAGGTAGCAGTTAACGTGAGTGTAGAGCTCAAGAGAGACGGTAGAGCTGAATAGCAGTGATAATGGACAATCACCCATGCTGGACACTGTCACAGGCACTTAACGTATAGCAATCTGCATTTAACCCTCTTGACCATTCACGGAGGTAGGAGCTCGCCTATCTCTATTCTGTGGATGAAGCAAGTAAGGCACAGGCTGATTCAATAACCTGCCAAGGTCTCACAGCTAGTAAGAGACGGAGACAAGTTCAAACCCAGGCACTCTGTCTCAAAGTGTTGTGTACACACAGCTCTGTAAATGTGGGGCTTTGAGAGTTCGTAGGTGGTCACTGAAGCCACTGGAGACATAGTTGGAAAATATGCAGAGTGAACATTCAGTGGGATGTCTGCCCACCCCTGTAGGCAGAAAGTATATGAGGAACTTCTGGAGTTTAGGAGGAACATTAGAACTTAGTATGAAGCTCATCCTTGTTCTGATTACCCAGGCCTTGTGCTCAGATCCGTGACTGTGCTCCTTAGGAAAAGAACCCAGCTTCTTTCTGTGTTAGACCCCGGACTGAACCCCTAATGCTCTGTCCCTCAGTCCCTTTTCTTTCCAGAGCCTAAATTCCTCATCATACTCCCCCACTTTGCCCTGTTCAGTGACCCCATGAGACTCCAGTAACCCAAAGATGGAAGCAGTTTGAACTTATGAATGTATGTAATTATTGAACAAATATTTGTCAAGCATCTACTTGTGAAGGACTAGTGTAGGCTCGAGGGCTACAGCAGAGAATAAAACAGAACAAAACCCCTGCCCTCATGATGCTTAAATTTTTTTGGAATATTCCAGGGGTTATTTTGGTTTCTTACGTTTGTGCCTTACTTTTAACTTCTGAAAGCATTCCCACAGCGAAACCATCTCCCTCAAGGTGAGTATGGCACACGTGATTATCCCCACGTTGTAGATATCCTAGACTGGATACAGATGGAGCATTAAGCTGTTAGTCCTCTCCACTTAGATTTTTCAGATAATCTGTATGGACTTTCTCTTGGGCAGAACTACCTGAAGTGCTGATTAATTTTAATGCCTTTAATTGGTTCACATGGTAACATAAATAACAAAAATTCAAATTCACATCAGTCTAGCACTTTATAAATAATAGTGGATGTAGACACCTTTGCTAAAGTGAAATGGTACCATATAAAACTTTATCAAATACATTTTACGTCTAGGGTACCTACATGGTATCTATGCAAGTATTTACAACATTCTTATGTGGTAAGCACATAACACTATTTGGTATTTCTTATCACTTTATAAATCAGAATAAACTATTTATTAAGAACATAAACATGTAAACTACATGTATTTGCTATTTCTTGTCTCTTCCTAAGTCAAAATCAATAAAATGTATCCTAACATTTATTTATATTCCTACAAGCTACCACGGTGCATCCCAGGAAGTGTCAGAGCCAGGCCTGCTCCTCGTGGAGCTTGTAGGTCTAGTTTCGGAGACAAGGCACACCTGCCTCAGATGAAAGTCACAGTCCAGTCCAGCCCAGTCTATGACAAAGTGTATAGGCACTGGTATAGACAAGTGCGCTAGAAGTTGAGAAATGGGTATGATCCCTGAGGTGGGCTGGATAGTTAGGGGAAAAAATTATATTTTAAAAAAGTAGAGTCATAAAATGTTTTTAAACAATGTTCAAAACTTTTACATAGCTTACTAGTTAGTGCCAAGGTGAATGATGGAATATTCCGGACATCAAGAAAAGGGCAGAAAGGGGAGGGGGCCAGGTCGGAGTGGGTTTTGAATGCCAACTGAAGGACTCTGGACTTGCTATTAAAATATACTCTTGCCCTTGACACTATCTAAAACCTTGTAGAATCTAAAGATCCAAATGAAGGACTTCGAAGTAAGTGCTGAGCCGGTCCAGGCCTGGCTGAGTAAGACCGAGCAGATGGTGCACGAGAGCAGCAGTCGCCTCTACGACCTGCCAGCCAAGAGGAGGGAGCAGCAGAAGCTCCAGGTGACAAGACCCTCCACCCCTGCGACCACACCTCTGTCCCGCCCCCGTACGCCCATGAGAGCAGATGCATGCCGAGCACCCCGAGGTAGACTGTGCCGCCGTGGGATACCGTGTGTGCTTTCCCCATTTCTGACACATTTTATGTTTTCTAACTTTCCTCTGAGGTGTGATTTGTTTCCTTCCTCTGGTCCTCCACTGCGTGGAGATCAGAAATAACAAAGCCTTCAGGGTACTACGATCCATGGCTTGCCGGTGTTGATTTCCACGTTCTTTGGTCCCAAGCTTCGTGTGCGATGTGCTTTCCCCCGCCTCTGAATAGTGACTTGCTTGTGCTTTTCAGTCTGTCCTTGAGGAAATACACTGCTACGAGCCTCAGCTCCACAGGCTGAAAGAGAAAGCTCAGCAGCTATGTGAAGGACAAGCTGCCAGCAAGAGCTTTAGGCACAGAGTGTCGCAGCTGTCTTCGCAGTATCTAGCGCTAAGCAACTTAACAAAGGTAACGCCTGGCATGTCCATGTGTGAGTGTGATACTGATGTCGCCGAACTGCAGTTGCCACAGGTTGTGCAGGGCGCCCATCCTGACATGCCCCGGGGTGGCGTCTCTGGCTCAGCAATGAGGCGCCTAAACGCTGTGTCCCCAGCCTTGCAATCCAAGTTAATCATTTGTGTGACAGCTTAATGTGGTTCTCTGAAGACACCAAAGGAGGTTTCAAAGATTGAAGAGACTTCCGATCTATTATTGCACAAAATATCCCTTTTAATACTGAAATGATATGTCTCCCAGGGCTTTGACTTTGAAGGCTCAAAGCATAAACATAAGGCAAAACTCAGAGTTTTTATTCTAAAGAATCTCAGATTAAACTACTTTAGAAAAACATGAATCCAAAGTGTATAAATTTTATTGAACTAAATATAAAGGTAGTTTGAAAAAATTGGTCTAAATTTCTTATATTCATTATATAGTAGTCTAGGAGGTGTTGATTGAGAGTTTCAGTTCGGATTCCAGAGCAGAGCTCAAAATTGGCAATGATTCGTGTAACTGATTAGATCTCTTTTTAAACAGCTTAGGAAAGAGTCAACGAGTCCCACTATGACCTCATTTAGAGCACTCGGCTAGTATAATGCAGACCCATCTTGAACTTTATGACACAGATTTATCCTGAGCTTTACGTACCTTGTAACATTTGTTTCCTATATTTTAAATTTCAGATGTTAGAATGTAGGGAACCTACTGTAATTTGGTCTTTAATTTAACCTCACCTATTTTAGTGTTGACTAATTTCTCATCTGCTCATTTGGGTCATCAATAATACATCATTGAGACAGTCACACTAGTATAGATCTTGAAGTAAATAGTCTATGCTTACACCCATGTTTATTCTTACACCCATGTTTTTCTACCTTCAGAAAATCTGTCACACATCCAATGAATTAAGATGAAGAATGAATCATTTTAGAATGAATTAAGGACATATTTCTATTCCTTTGTATTTATTTAGATACCAATAAGTAGTAGATATTTTAATGCTTTAAGAGCTATAGACTATTATAAAGTCTTCACTGTGTTGGACATGACCTGTAATTAATAAGCGAAACCACATATATGGTTCCAAGTGTTAAAATTTAGAGATATTATAAAATCTCTTTTATAATATTCTTCAGAACTCTGGCTGTAGTGTGGGTCACGTGGGAATGTGGTGTCAGTTGAGGCAAACATGATATGTGAAAACTAGAAACTACTTTGATTTCCCTCCCAGATAAGGCATCAGGCAGAAATTTTACTGATAAAAGAAATCTTAACTGTCATAAAGAAGGTGAGGAGAAGTAAATTGTAATTTTTCTGCTTTTTGGCCCAGTTATTTTAATAATCTTACTATTTAGAAAGATAGTTCACATATCTCATAGAATGAGTGCTGACTCGTATCACGTGTGCAACATATGAAGCTCTGACTGATCGTAGTCATTCCACACAAACCATCAACTTTACACCTTGAGTCTCTGTGGAATGGACAGCTCGAAAACCATTTCTGTCATTTCCAGGAGAAAGTGTCAAGATTGGACAGAATTGTTGCAGAGCACAATCAGTTCTCTCTCGGCATTAAAGAATTGCAAGACTGGATGACGGATGCAGTTCACATGCTGGATTCTTACTGTCACCCGACATCTGACAAAAGTGTCCTGGACAGCAGGATACTCAAGCTTGAGGTATGCATGTTTAGAGAAATAGTTCCAACTTTACAGCATTTGTTTTTCTCAACATTTCCTGTCTCCGTCTGCCTGGTATGGTCACGTCACACTCTCCCCATGACAAATCTCAGAGCGCTTTGCCCGTGTGATACTGTCCACCTCGGGCGGACATGCCTGAGCATTCCTGAATTATTTCACTCTAGACATATTCACTCACAATTTTTTTCCAAAAAATATAATAAAACCCTAATGTGGTTATCTGCTTGATAGCCAAATAAGGGGTTAGTTTCAAATTACCTTACAAACACAATTATTTTGAGACAATATTTTGAAGGGCAAAACATTTCCCATCTTACGCAGCTCGCTTGCCTGCTGGTATCATTTAGTTCATCCTTCTCCCACCCCAAAATTTGCATCACAAATGCAAAAGTTCAATTTTTCATTTGTGATGAAAATAATTAATCTGCATTCATTCATATACAGAGTGCCTTCTAGAGAAGACTGGCACAGTGTCTTGTCACCAGCGAATCAAAGATGAATAAAATATGGTCTTCACCCTCAAGGATTTCATTTTCTGGGCCTGGAGATTGAAATACAGAGGACAGTAACAGCAGATACAGATATGCTTATGGTGTTAAAGACCGAGGAGTGGAACTGGGCAGGAGATATAGGTTGAACGCCAGAGCAGATTTCTTAGGAAGTCTGCTTGATAAACCGAGATTTTAAGAATGATGGAGGGAGTTATCCCGGCAACGATGACTGGGTGGAGATTTGACATCGGTAGCAGGGAGGGGAAAAGTATGAGCAAAAGCCAGAGGGAAGAAACAGCATGATGTGTGGCAAACTGCGAGCAGTTGCTTATTGCTGCAGCAGAAAGCGGTGGCAATGGTGGCTGAAGCTGAGTCTGTAGAAACTGGCAAGATCCACATTAGAAAGGGATGAAGCTTTGTCCTATAGGTGACACTGTTTTATAACTTTGAATTAAAGTTTCCCTCTCACGTAGGAAAAGAATAGGGCTTATGAAGAACTGGAGATGTATCATCTGTTTCTATAGGTTTGTTGTGCTGGAGACCTTAACACTTACAAACTCTTCATCCCACGGCCTTTGAGAACTCATGAATTCTACTGTACTGCCTTTTTCCGTTGTTAAAATCAGTAAAGTAAAACTTCATTGGAAGAAAGGGATTATTCAGAGAAGACTTAAGACTTGCAAAGCCAAGGCCACTTAGAGATCAGCAGGTGGCTGGTGAGTGGCACTCACCAGCAAGCCACTTCTCCACCCTCCATTTCAGCAGCCAGAGAGCTCCAGGGCAGGGGCGACCCAACTGCATATCATGCTGCTATCTTCAGGGGCTCTGAAATATTTAAAGCCAGAAATGTTGAACATGCAAATGGCAAAGTATTTCTGTGTTTGTTTCTACAGGCTCTATTATCAGTGAAGCAGGAAAAAGAGATTCAGATGAAAATGTTACTGACCAGGGGAGAATCTGTCCTTCAGAATACCTCTCCAGAAGGCATTGCTGCTGTTCAGCAGCAGCTGCAGAGTGTGAAGGATATGTGGGCGGCCCTTTCGTCTGCAGGGATTCGTTGTAAAAGGTAAGGGAAATCACAGCCAGGCACTGGCAAGCCATTAGTGAAAGATCAGTACAATACTGCAGTAACACACTGTTCTTGCGGTTCTCTTTCCCTCCCTCCTTCCTTCCTTTCCTCCTTCCTGCCTTCCTTCTCTCCCTCCCTTTCTCTCTCTCTTTCTTTCCTTCCTTCCTTTTTTTTTTTTTTAGAACAAAAGAAACTGGCAGGTATAATCTTGCATTTACACGGACCTACAATACCATGCCTGTGATTTAATATAATTAAAAATGCATGCTTCTTATTGTTGTTGTTCACTGCTTAAAAACCAAAAAATGAATAGATGTTTCATAATGTAAAGATATATTGATTAAAACCGAGTCATTTACTTGGAGGTAACCCCAGGAAATACTAGTGGGGGAGAGGGAAAGAAATGAGCAATGGGGAAGCCAGTAAAGGGCATATTATCAAACAAGTTACCATAGTGGGCAACTGGAACTTAATCCAGCTGGGAGCCAATTTAGAGCATGTGCCTTGGAGTTTTTGCACCCAAGGGCAGGGAAGCTGGGGCATTTGGAAACAAACCCCCATGAGTCAGGAGGACAGCTGAGGGCTGCCCATGAGGGTGACACTCCCCAGGTACTTCTTGCCTACACTGCCCTTGAGCTGAGAGTACATCAGTATGTCTTCGAGCTGAGAGATCTAGGAGGGAGCAATTGGAAGCCCAGTTGGCAACATGCTGAAGTGCTAGAGTCTGAAGGTATACATGGGGCGGGAGTGGCACTGAGAGTGTCTGCTGCAGAATTACCCAAAACATGGTAATAAAATTGAGCACAAATAACTAATGTAATTAAAAATATAGCATTTGGATTGAGACAAGGAAATATATAACTTATCTATAAGAGAAATAGTTAAGTTTTAATATTTGGACCAATTCAGAAAATGTTACCTTATTTTTTCATTGTGATTTTCTGATTTTTAAATCTCATGCAAGGTGGTTACTGTGCTTATTCTTCCTTGGTTCTTACTTCCTTCTTTTAGTAATTCATTTTTTTCCTCGCCTGCTCTGCATGTCCTGCTCAGCTTGATGAAGTTCAGTGTTGGTTCTCCCCTGCCTGGAGCTTTGGCTTGGGAAAAGGCCCACTCGGGAATCTCTCCCGGTTTCTCCTTCAGGACTCTCCCAGTGTCTGCTATCCCCTGGGCACTGACTTTTGGGTTTGTACCCAGTCCCACTTGTCTGCCTATCGGCCTCGGTTTAACTTGCTTCCTGAACCTGTCCTTGCCAGAGTCCTAGGTTCAGAGTTGATAAACCCTGGCGAGACTGCCCAGGCCCAAGCCAGCCCCTTTCTTGGTCTCTGGACCCCCTGCTGGCCGGAGTGGCCGGAGCAGACACAATGACAGATTATAGACTCATAAGGATTCTTCATATAGACTATTGTCCTTTCAAATCCCTTTCAGTCAACTCGAAGGCGCTCTTTCTAAATGGACAAGTTATCAGGACGATGTTCGACAGTTTTCCAGTTGGATGGACGGCGTCGAAGCCAGTCTAAATGAATCTGAAAGGCAGTGTGCGGAACTGCGGGAGAAAACAGCTGCTCTCGGAAAAGCCAAGGTTAGAGCTGGATTTCAGATTCCATTTGTTCTCCTACAGGCCTCTGTAGAATGCCATAGTCAGACAAAAATATGATTACCCGTATGCCAGGGCTATACATATAAGTAAATTATATTTGGGGCTGGGGTTTAATTTCTAATGGCTTCTTAAACTGGACTTTTGTTTATGGTTATTTTATTAGTAAGTGAAATATTTCTCTTCCAGGAAAACCATGTAGACTCATGTTTTATAGTATAGACCATTTAAAAAGTAGCACCTTGTAACAACATCTTTCAATATCTTCAGCCTGCACATTGCTGGGAAGTAAAAAGGCTTTCTTTTTATCCCATCCTTTCATATTGCTACTTTTGTACATTTTTCATAATGATCGTACTCATACAGTACAGCATGTAAAGATTTTTATAATATATAAATATTAAGAATGCATTCTTAATACTCTTTTATTAATAGTAGGATTCAAACATAAAGCTTTGGAGACTTACAGCATTACTGCAAGGCACGTTCATTGGACGGCCTATTCCATCACAATTTCGTCATGTCCTCAGCAGTATTTATTATCTGCTACGCAGAAATCCTCGAGCTCTTGTATTCTCAGTTTCTGTTAATTTGTATCTAGTCACTGTGAATAGACTAAATTAGACACCTGGTTATCCCAGCGTCTTCTTTCTCATTCCAACTCTGCGTCAGGCATTAGGCTATGCTGATCCATTCTCTTCATCTGAATTGGAGCAGATCCCTAATTTCTCACCTTGTTCCTTGTCTCCATCTACTGCTATCTTCACATAAAGGTGAATGTCTCACTTCCCTGCTTAAGAGCCCCTGTTGGCTTCCGATCGCCTACGGTGTAATCCCAATCTCCCCACCTGGTTTGTAAGAATGGTAATAATCTCCTCTGCCATCCTCATTTCCTTCACTCTCCCGCCCTCCTCCCTTCCGCTCTGCAGCCTGACTGAATCTCACGCTATTTCCTAAACCCTGCCCCGATCTTTACAACCCCGTGCCTTTGCAGAATCCCTTCACTTTTCACAGAATGTCCTTGCTCTGCCTCTGCACCTGGCAACCTCCTGCTCGCCTTTCCGAACCAGTTCACAAATCATTTTGGCTGTGACATACCATCCCCACCACCACCCTAGGCTTGATTGGTTGTTCCGTTCTCTCATGGCCCTTGGTTCATAGCTGTTTATTAATCTTATAGGATATGTGCTTACACGTCCCTCTCCCTCTGTGGCTAGAGATGCTTAATTTTCTTTACATCCGCAGGACATGGCTCTTTGTCTCAGCAAATGCTGAGTAAAAGTTATTTGAATAACTAAACGTGACCCATGCCAAGGCGCTTAATATTTCTGGATCTCATTTGTACATCTGTAAATTAATAGAATCATAATTATCTGCATCATTATCTATATTTTTTGTAATAATTAATTGCTCAATTAATTAAATTATTCATCTATTCAATCGATATTTATTAAGAAGTTGCTGCATGCAGGGGGCTTTATGCCTAATTCTAGGCGAATAAAACAGGCAAGGGCTGTGTGCTGGTGGGGACACATCCCCTCAGCAATAAGTGTACAAATAAATACATAATCACACTGGTAAGTACCGTGAAGAAGAAAAGCAGCATGATGTGAGAGAGAGTAATTTGGAAAAGGCTAATGTAGATTGTTTAGGGCCATGGGGGAGGGACAGGAAAGGCCTCTCTGAAGCAGTAGACATTAGAGTACCCCCTAAAGGATTTAATGCAGAGAAATTAGTGTGGGGAGGAGTTGAGAAAACAGCATTTTAGATGGAATAAACAGTGTGTCCACAGGCCCTGAGAAGGGAAAACCTGGCGCAGTAGGCAGGAGTTGCTGCAGCAGAGAGTAAGCAGGGGAGGGTGCTGCAAGGGGTTTGGAGGGTGGCAGGGACCTGATCCTGCATCGCCACGTCGGCTGCCCTGAGGATTTTCCACTTGATCCTGACAGCGTTAGGAAGATAATCCATGTTTTAAGCTAGGGAGCCACGTGATTCCATTTTTAATCCTACGGCATTTTATCCCTTAGGTTGCTGGGTAGAGTGTGGAATAAGGGGTAGGGAAGAAGGGGTAGCCGGGAATCTGCCTAGGAGACCGCTGCAAAGTCCGAGTGAAAGGTGAGGGCAGCCTGGGCTGGGGAGACGTGAGGACAGATGTCATGATGTAATGGGGACGGAGAACTACCAGGATTTCATGATGGATAGGAGGACGGAGAGCTAGGAGGACTCTGGAACATTCCAGCATTGTGGATTGAACATCTGGGTGGGAGGGGGTGGTATTTACTGTTTGAAAAAAGACTGAAAGAAGGGGGTTTGGTGGGTGCTGGGGCAGAATGGGGAGGAAACCAGGAGCCCATTTCTGGACATAAGAGGTTTGAGAAATATGAAGTAGGTAATTGGGAATTCCTATCTTAGAGAAAGTTCTGGACCAGATACCAAATACAGACAGACACACACACACACCCCCACATAAATATACATCCATGCATTCACGTATGTATCTATGTCAGATATATAAATGGATGGAAAGATGGGTAGATAACCCAAGGTCACTTGTCAACTGTATGGTTATCATTGCTTTGATGGCACATGGATAACTCCTTTATTTTTCAAATATGCTCTCTAGTTATTAAATGAAGAAGTGCTGAGTCACAGCAGCTTACTGGAGACCATCGAAGTCAAAGGGGCTGGCATGACAGAGCACTATGTCACCCAGCTGGAGCTCCAGGACCTACAGGAACGGTACAGAGCCGTCAAAGAGAGGGCCAAGGTAGGGCTGACCAGGCTCCTTGCAGACTCACCACCACAGGAGTGTCTGGAGCTGTGCTTGTTTCAAGACTCATTTGTTTTTGAGAACAACAGGCTTGTGAAAACAGAACATAAGAAGCAAAATGCACTTTAATATTTTAAAGGTATCCCTTGCAAAACCAAACAAAAACCTTCAAATATTGTTAGTATATGAAAACCACTAAAGTAAAATAATTCTTAATTTAAAATTCTTAATTTAGAAATGTGCCAATTTAACAAAAATTTAGACCAGCTTTATAATGAAGACTCATCAATGCCTTATTACATCTTATGATGAGAAATTTCTAAAGTAGGAAATAATCATCAGTCGTATTTATCAGCCTTCACTTAGGCTTCACGAAAAAAATAAAAATACTTTTTCAGAGCACGTCCTACTTTATTAGACAAAGCACATGAAAAATTAAATCTACAGTGAGTCCAAATCCTCATTTAAAGCATAAGAATCTCAATTTTTTTCATTAGCAAAAGGAATTTTTAGGAAAAGGAAATTCATTTTTTTGGCATGCCTGTTACATTTTATAAGGAATTTTGAGATCAAGTAGTTAATTCAACAAAATAATCTTTAAGATCCCTTTTAATCCTGAAATATGTGTTTACATTTTTTACATAAATCTTGAAGGTTCATTCTGCTAGGAAATCATTCATATTCCAATGATTTAATGATTGTGCTTTTCTAAAATTCCAAAAGTGAACTCTTACAGCACATTGACGCTATGTGTAGTAATGTATTCCTATCTTAATGATTTTAAATGCTAATTATAGGAAGCAGTAACCAAGTCTGAAAAACTCGTTCGCCTGCACCAAGAGTATCAGAGAGACCTAAAGGCATTTGAGGTTTGGCTGGGGCAGGAACAAGAAAAGCTTGACCGATACTCAGTTCTGGAAGGTGATGCCCACACTCACGAGTCGACATTGCGGGATCTTCAGGTAAAGCCACCTTTATCCTGAAACAAGGGAATCTTCCTTTTGAATATGAAATCATTACTTTGAGCAATGGGAAGTTAATAGCACCTTGAGCTCTACAGGCAGCTGATGCATATTGAGTGTAACCCGGCAAGGTTTGATCTAGGGCATTCTGGGACCTCAGTAGCATATGCTGGTTGAGATCATTTGGTAGGCAGTTTAGACTGGGCAGGGCTGGCACTTGGGGGACTCTTAATAGCTACCAGGCTGACAGGTGTGGCCTCTGACAGGTGTGGCCACAAATCTAATTTATAGTGCTGACTGGCCCACCCGCCTGTTGCTCCCTAAAGGATCAAATCACATGTGGGAACAGCAGCAGGATCAGAAGAACGTGACACTACTCTAAGTTCAACTGGTGGCTATATCTTGGGCCATCTGATTTTAACTAAAACCTACAATATTGTTGACAATACAGGGCTAGGCTCAGAATTCCAGAAGAAGGAATTACAGAAGCTTAAAGAAGTGTTGGTTCTCAGGCCAGCAGGCTGCAATTCAGGGTGAGATGTCGGACACAGTGGGAATAGCGGTCGTAACCCATTTACTTATTTATTTATTTGACATTTATTGAATACCTAATACAGTGCAATGTTTTGCTAGCTACTTCAGGTAATGATGATTACGATATTATTTCTGTCTTCAAGGGACTTGCAATCTGTTGGGGAACACAAATCCAGAGATGGATTGTTATAAACCATGTGGTGAGGACACTAATGAAGTAACGCAAAGGATCTTATAGTAGCATCAAAGGGGGAACTTAATCTTGCCTTGGGAGGTAGGTAGGGGTCAGGGAGGTTCCCCAAGAAGGGGCCACTAGGTACACATAACAGAGGATGGAGAAAGGCCAGTGAGACCACTCCATGTCCCTCCCTCAGTGTGTTGGAACTTAACAAATGTGCTATCAGCCCTGAATAGAATTGGTTCTGGATTGGGCAAGATTTATCTACAGTTTGGGCAAGGTGGAAAAATCAGGGACTGTCATGGTTATCTTTGGTCTATAAAATTCTGGCTATTTCTGTTAGGTCTTGGGGAGTGTTACATAATGGCAGGAGAACAGGGTTGGGGTTAGGAAGTTGGGACTCTAATCCTTGGTGGGACCTGACACTAGGTGCCTTCAGGCAAGAGAGAACCTCTTGGGCTCAGTTTCCTCAACAGAGTTGTTGTAAGGATTAAATGAAATGTGAGAAAATCTTATGTAAATATATGGCCTATTCATGAAATAAATAAATAGTAGAAGTTAGAAGAATCACAATTCCCTTGGCTTACTTACAGGTTTCATCCATCCTGCCTTAAAAGAATAAGATGTCCTGGTCCACCAGGTTCAGCTGTTGCAATTTATTTGAGTAGAATTGACTTTGTTTTCTTTAACCCTTCTGAGCACTTCGCTCCAGTCACCCTTAGCAAGCAAATGCTGAGCTCCTTATGCTTCCATGTAGAAACTAGGCCAACCCCCAGCAGCTGCTTCTCTTGTTCTGGTCAGAAGAAAATATTTCACTTAACATGGAATGAGTGTGGTTCAAACCTAACTCCAACTGCTGGCTTTGCCATGTACTAATTCTCACACTGTCTTAGTTGGAGTCACTACTAGTGTTAAAAAGAAAGGAAGATGCTAGTGGCAGAAAACAGTAGTGGCAAACTGCGATGCCCCATCCCCACAGCAGAAATGTCTTCAGGATCTGGGTGTCCTACAGCATGCACAGTGGGTGGGGTGGGGGGATTGGCCAGCAGTGTGAACCATATTCACAAGTTATTTTGTATAAACTGAAGGCCTAATTTGGATCATAGAACATATATATATGT